TTCGCATTCTTAAAACTCGAAGGTAAACGTAACGTTCGCAAACAAATCGTAGGGGCTGAGGGGCGACGCTCCTAACAAACGTCGCTTTTTTTTGTGGTAAAACAATATTTAGGTCATCGACGCTCACCGTATTTGTAAATATTAAGCGCTTTGCATAGTGCACGTGTTGTTTCTACGTATTTATCCAAAATATATATAATTTAATACGATATTGTAGAACAAAAATCAACCTTATTGTGTCAAAATAAACGGAAAAGTGAATATTATCAATTGATAATTGTTAAATGAGGTATAATCCCTTGGCTAAATTTAAATACTTTAAATAAGGAATAAATTATATACAAGCCGAAAAATCGCCTACGTTTCTAATTATTTTTAGTTTATCTATATATGTAATGTACATTGTATCTGAAATAAAATTATGGGGAAGATAAAGCAAACAGTACAAAATAGATAATATTCTGGTTAGTATGTTAGGAAACTAACTATTAGAAATACACACATAGCTTTATGAAAGCAAGTAAATCGAACCGAAATATCTCGTCTTATAAAAACCTAAATCACTTATATAATTGTTTAAATAGTCACAGAATGTGAAAAATAAAAGACTACAGAAAACCTTATTGTAATCAATGATATTAAAAAGTGCCCTCTTTCTCTTTTATAGAATATTCGCCAAACTCAGTTAGAAACGGACGGACACACACAGGAAGAGCATAAAGGAATTGCAATTTCAAGCGCCGATTTACCACAGTGCTGTGAAGAAAACGTCGTGAGCCTTTCTGCATATTCAATGAACATTCGTGTTCGGTGGTAGGGCTACGCAGCAGCCTCGGCTGTTTCACGAATGGACAGCCCCGTCCGGGTAAGTACCACGACCTCACAGAAGACCAGCGTAAAGTGGAAGTATGACAAATACTTTCGCGTTTCGTCCGGTGAGTGAGTTAGCCGGAGCCCACTTTCTGAAAAGGTTGTCAACGCATCTGTAACCCTCGGGTGTAGCAGATGTCCATGGACGACGGTATTCACTTACCATCAGTTGATCCGTTTGCTCGTTTGGCAACTTTTCACATAAAAAAAATGGTTTCGAAGCCACAACCGAATCCTCCTTAGTCGTTGGCAACCTTAGCGCAGTCATAAATATCGCGTTTGCTGCTATTGACTTATTTTTTTACCGTTTTTGGTCGATGCAGCTGTCTAAATATAGACATCAATGCCCTTCAATCTGCACGCGTCGCGCTGTCAACATATACAGTCTGTTGTAATGTGCAATGTCTCATCAAAATGTGGGGTCGTCGCCCCCGTGAATCACGTCAACTCGCACATAATTTTATTTGTGCCCACCGTTCCCTTCGCGCGCGCCTTATCGCCCGTTTCTCCGTCCCTTTCACCCGTCGTACACGTCACATCCGATTTCGGGCACTCGAAGCGATCTCAAGCGCTTCACGGGAAAACAATGGCTTTAGGAATGGTTAGATTCTTTTAAACCATCCTAAATTTGCTGTTCTAGCCGGTCGTCTATTTAGCAAACAATGTAGCCGCTGAAGGAGTAAGAGATCAATAATTATTGTAAAAGAAATTAGACAAATTTTGAGAATTTAATCTGAGAAAGTAACAGCATATACATGTCCCACTGCTGGGCAAAGGCCTCCTCTATACAGAGATTATCAGGGCATAGTCCGCCACGCGGCCCCACTGCGGATTGGCGGACTTCACATATTTTTGAAATATATTTTTTTTTGTTATTACTTCGAAAATATGCAGGTTTCCTCACGATGTTTTCCTTCACCGCGGAGCACGTCGATAGCACGACGATAAGTCAGCACTTAAAGTTAAAAACTTCATTGGTGCCGGCATCGGGGATTTCACGAATTGGCCACGAATTCAAAGACTGGCGTGAGCATTAGGATTTAGTCTCCTAAAATAAACGCTCATTTTTTTTTATGCGAAAAGTTGTCAAACGAGCAGAAGGTTCACCTGATGTTAAGTGAATACCGCCGTCCATGGACATCTGCCACACCCGAGGGTTACAGATGCGTTGACAACCTTTTGAAAATTGGGCTCCGGCCACCGCACTCACCAGACGCAACGCGAAAGTATTTGTCATACTTCCGCTTTACGCCGGTCTTCTGTGAGGTCGTGGTACTTGACCGGACGGGCCTGCCCATTCATGCAGCAGCCTACTTTTAAATGTTGTCGAGGCATCTGTAAACTTAGGGGTGTTGATGGGCGGTAGTAATCTTAACATAAGGTGTAGAAAGTTTAGCGTAAAAAAAAAACCATTAATCTTATCCAGTGCGCCAGTGCTTCTTAGTGTTCGTTTGTGAAAAAGGATACGAAAAGCAATTGATAACGGTTGCATTAAATGACTTGTAATTGTAGGTAAATAATGTCAAAAGGTTGTCGCATTTAGTTGACGCGCGTCGTAAAAAATCACTCTCATCATTCTTCCCGAGCGCGCCAACAGAAGTACAACTTAAAACAATAATCGACCAAGTGCGAGTAGGACTCGCGCATTAAGGGTTCCGTACCATTATCTATAAAACGGCAGAAAAATCATGTCTGATGCATGGGAGCCCTTCTCAAATATTTTTTATTCTATTTTTTAGTGTTTGTTGTTATAACGGCAACAGAAATACATTATCTTTGAAAATTTCAACCGTCTTACTATCACGGTTCATGAGATACAGACTGGTGACAGACAGACAGGCAGCAGAGTCTTAGTAACAGGGTCCCATTTTACCCTTCGATTACGGAACCCTAAAAACACAACTATGCAACCGGTTTCATTAGCTTAAGTGTATAAACACACTTAAGCTAAGCTAATAAGGAGCGATATCCTTCGAACAGACCAGCAGTGATCCTGTCGATTTTTATCGCACCACACACAGGCATTATCTCCCACGTGTTCGTATATTCACCGCTGCCTACCCTGTTTCGGTTAAAGTCGTGAACCGTGCCCCAAATTGGATTCCGATTTATGTAGAAACGGACACAGCCCACGACACTAAATACTCGTAGAAGCCGAATGTTTTTACATGATAATGTGCCGCTCCAAGTGTGCTTACATGAAACGACGAAATAAATTATTGTAACGGCCTGTATTTAATTATTTATTTATTCTTTGTTCACAAAAAGTACAAAGGCTGCCAGTCAGCCATAAGACGCTACATAGAATAAATAAAGAAATAAATAAATTAATAATTTAGGACACATTTTTACACAACATTCTATAGTCCCAAACTATGCTTGTACTATGGGTACTAGAAAACTGATAAACATACTAACATATACTTTTCTTTTGTAAATAAATACATATTATACATATATAAACACCCAAACACTATAAAACACTATTTTCATCACACAATATTTTTCCAGTAGCGGGAGTCGAACCCACACCCTCTGGCGCAGGAGGCAGTAACACTACCCACTACGCCATTCGGGTCGTCTAGAGAAGATTGGGTAGATGTACAGAAAGTCATAAAAATCCGGCCTTGTGCTACCTATAAAAACGGCAAAAAATCATGTTGTATGGGAGCCCCACTTAAATATTTTTCCTAATTATTTTATAACGGCAATAGAAATATCATCTATTTAAATTTCAACTGTCTAACTATCACGGTACATGAGATATATATCATGACAACAGGTTTATATTCATGTTCCTGGTGACAGACGGACAGGGAGACAGACAGACATATACAGTTATACTCCTAGAGTTTACAAATAACACAAGGACGTCCAAGCTCATCTAAAAACGGAAACTATTAATTTAAAAAGCTTATTGTATTGGGCGCAGATTGAATCCGCAACTGGAAACTCTCAATAGTGATTAGCGAAACGTTCACTTAAATATTGCGGCATCTATCAAACTGTGGGAAAATATACCGTGATGTATTTTTATTTTTTATCTATAAAACTGTGCGAACTGATTGGATTTTAATGAAACTTTACAATAATATAGCTTACATCAGAATAAGACAGGCTATAATTTATATACCTACATATTTTATGTATATCTGTCTTTCTGCTTAATGTTACACCTTCAGCCTATTCTACGCAGACGTAGTCGCGGGCAGCAGGTAGTAAATGGACAAACCAGACACTAGAAAAATACTGTGCTCATAACACAATATTTCCACAGCAGGAGGGCTCGAACCCTCCACTGTCCGGCCTAAAACAGTTTCACCACTCACTGCGCCTATCGAGTCGTCCGTCATCACTATTGTAGAGAGCCAAATAATGATTGGAAGTAACAATGATGACTACTTATATGGTGTGAATTGTAATACACCTCGATCTAATTAATCCATTCAAAATTTTTTGTCCAAAGAAAATGTCTCAATCTTAAGTGTTATTCTGCGATTCGTCTGGTGAGTGTGCCGGGGCCCACTTTATTAAAAGGGTGGCAACGCATCCGCAACCCTACGAGTGTTGCAAATGTTCTTGTTCTTGTTTTTCTTCTTTTTTAAAACATTGCCCTCACTTTAGGATAACATTGTCCTGTGTTGTAAGGACGTTTTACAAACATAAATTACACGAGGACAAACACCCAAATGAGAGACAACTATCTGTGGGTCGCACAAACCCGTGTGGGAATCGAACCCACGACCCCCGATGCCGCAGCCAATACCTTGGCAACTGCGCCACGGAGTCTTCTTACGTAAAAAAAAAATCATCGTGCAACAGAATTTTATACGGACCAGTTGTGACGACTGCATACCTACTCCATAACAATATCTGCTGGCAAAAACAAGGTAAATTAAGAATAACATTTTCCTTGTTTACCGTCTTCCCATTCAATGTAACTCGATTGTTAAACTCTTGGAGTTTATACGTAACATTTTGATGAATTAAGATAAATAGATGAGTGTACACACTAATGAAATTGACTAAATCAGCCTTCAGAAAAATTTAATTTGATATATACATAGTAGTAGGGATGAAACAATCCGAAACCGCTTGTCACGCTCGAGTGCGTTCGGCCACCGACCGCCATGTTCGAAATTCGAACGCACAAAAGCCGCCCGCTGTGGAACGTTTCCCGCCGAAATATTTGCGCCGCGTTCAAGGTCAGCGTGAGGCAGGTCAGCGCCGTGACGTCACCGGCGCCCTCCAAAACGCCGGGTCAACGGCCGCGCTGCCATTGCGGAAATTGTGCTGCGCGCGTTCGGAATTCGAATTGGGCCCCTTTGGCTGTGTGCGTGCGATTGTGCGTTTCGGCGTTGGCGCGCGGCGTCCGTGTGTGCGCGAGACGCGTGTGTGCACGGTCGATTTGGGGGGCTTTTTTGTGCGTTCCCGCGCCATCGAATACAGCCCTCGGACGTTACGAATGGGTTACCGAGGGAGATGGCAGTTCTTCAATAGTCTTAATAAGTCGGCGGCGGCACAACAAAACCCCCGCTCCCAAGCGGCCCCATTTCGTGCGCGAAACGTCCGCATTCGATATTTGAAAACGGCTCAGTTATCCGTAGGGTAATATCATGCGAGTGGAGAGATGAGCGAGCTTAACGCGGTCATTACTTTTAAATCTATAGCAGAATACTTTTAAATCTGCTCGAACAACCTGAGTTCGATCCCCGGTGGCGGAACCAATTAAATTGTTAATATTAAGCGCTGACTTATCAAGTGCTCAGTGATGAATGAAAACGTGAAGATATTTTATTTACCGCATATTTTCGAAATAAAAAAGATATGTGAATTCCGCCAGGGGCCGCGTGGTGAACTATGCCCTGATACCCTCTGTATAGAGAAGGCCTTTGCCCAGCAGTGGGACATGTATAGGCTGTTACTTTACTTTTACTATTTCAAATCGCATTCTGAAGTGGGTATTCGTACTAATCGCTTCTCAGCGAAGTTCAAGATCCGTTCGGCGTGACCCTTGTCGCTTAATTGTATCGTGCGGGGCCGAAATACGCATTAAGCTCTTTTGTCTCGTCGCTCATTTAAGCGGCCAAGGCCACCTTTTACACCGCGACTCGGCTCTGCGCCGCCGGAGGAATTCGTCCGCTCCGGCGAATCGCCCTTTGTGTCGCCCCTCGCGCATACGAAAATTCATCGCGTCAACTGTCACTATATTAAGCTTAATGGAACGGAATCGGTGCTGATGCGTTCGTTGTATCTCATCGTTACTTAATATTATAAACGCGAAAGTTTGTATGTATTGATGGATGTTTGTTTCTTTCAAGCACTACTGAATAGCTTTCAATGAAACTTTACAATAATATAGCTTATACATCAGAATAACATATAGACTTTAATATATAAGATATTGTGTGAATTGTCCAAAATACAGGTAATGAATCAAAATAACTGTCAACTAAGTATGAAAAAATTCGCTATCTGCGAGATATTCTAGTGTATAATAAAAAACTCATTGTTACTTCCATTTGGCCGCGCGGGTGCAGCCGCGGATAACAGCTAGTACCTTATAATTGTGTTTGCTGTTATATGACTGTCTATGATGATTCCACCGGCGAATTGCGTACAATCAAAATATAAGCCAAACTGGCGCGACCTGCGGTATTCGATCATAGTGTTAATGAAAATCACAAACGGCCCATGTATTAAAAGCCACCTAAACGCATCATCGACTCATCTACGCGGGCGAGATTAAAAAATAACCCCCCAAACAAAACGTCGGGAGAGGGCCTCCAATTTCCCCTACCACTCGAGACGCCATCGCTCCATCGACCATTTACAATGGAACTAATGCCATAACCGGATCGACGGGTCTAACGGAAAAAAAATCGTCCCGGCCCATGCCAAAATGGCGGCCAATCGTCTAACGCGCCACAAATTTCGGATGCACGAGAGGGGGCCGCTGTTAGACGCACACTAAAAGAAGCGCGCTCGTGTGCGATAGATTATATACCACGCTAATGTTCCATTATTCTTCTAACGCTCTCCTAACGGCCAGCATTTTTTATACCAACTTGTTTTTTTTATTGATTTATTACAAAACATATTGAAATATTGTAAACAGTAGGTAGGTACATAATTAAAACAATATATTTTTATTAAACGATAAAAAAATAATTCAAGTATTTATTTTTTCACTAAGTAGGTTACTTACCACATTACTGACACTAATACATATTGTTTATTTTTTTTGAGTTATTATTTTTTTTTTACATTAAGATGCAATTAAATAAATAACCAAAGAAAAGTATTAGGTACTCTTTAATCAATTGCGCCTAACAATATATTAACATTGCTTGAAACAACATTTACACAATATAAACATTGCTATAAAATTTTCGCCATCAAAAGAAAAATACAACCTAATCTAAATATTGTTGACAACATTACATTTGTGTTCAAGTAAAAAAAAACGCAGCGGCCATCTTATCTTTATTTTTTCTAAGACTTCACGGGGCAACGAGCTAGTTCCACACGTAAACGTCAAACGGAATTAAAAATGGAACACTGCCTGCGATTCGTCGACTCCACTAAGTGCCTTCTAATTTTTTTCTCTAAGCTCGAACAAACCAATCGCGGAACGCCGAATTTAGAGGATGCGCGGGAGTGGCCGAATTTGTGAGCTAGCTAGACGCACACAGTCAAACGTGATTTATAGCGACGTGTAGGGAATAGTGTGTTCAGTGCGTGAGTGTAAGTTGGTTGGTTTGTGTGCGTGCCATTAGCATTTAGTGAATAGAAGTGTGGACTGTACGTTTTGATTTATTTATCGTGCGGATTTCGGCGGTTGGCTTTAACACAATGGGCTCACGTCCGCTTCATAATATCGTATTATTAACTGTTGCTGCTAAATATTGCTTTTTAATTTAATGATTGTCAAATGCTTTCTCATAAATTTAGTTTTTGTTTAAGCGAATAAATAATATTTTGTTATAATATGTTAAAATACTTACTAATCCTTTTCCTTACTAATATTATAAACGCGAAAGTTTGTATGTATGGATGGATGTTTTTTACTCTCTCACGCAAATACTAAGTACTGAATGGATTTTAATGAAACTTTACAATAATATAGCTTATACATGAGAATAAGACAAAGGCTATAATTTATATACATATTTATGTGTATCTGTCTTTCAGTCTGAATGTTAGGCTATCAGCCTATTCTTTGCAGACGAAGTCGCGGGCAGCAGCTAGTAATTAATAATTCCTATCAATGTTTTTTTACAACAACCCCAACACTTACATCACTCGCCCAACCCACCCCAGCCCAGCCAGCCATTACTAGCTAGTCCGAATTCGTTATCACACAAATAACTTAAGAAATATATATAAATATATTAAGAACTTTCGTTTCAGGCCGACAACTCTTCAAGCAAAATGTTACTCCAATGATATTGGATTTTAAACGAAACTACTCATTCTTCACATTTCCCGATAGCCGATGGCAAAGAAATGTTTTTGAGTGGCAGCCTCGTACTGGCCTACGCAGTGTAGCCCGACCCCCGCTGGATGGAGTGATGACCTGTGCAAGTGTGCGGGAAGTCGATGGATGCAGGTGGCTCAGGATCGTGCTTCGTGCCAATCAGCAGTAGACTCTAACGGGCTGCAATGATGATGAAAATTTTCTGCAAAGAAAAACACATTTCAAACGATAAGGACACTAGTTTACCTCTTAACGGACGATTAATCAGCTCTAAATTGAAACTCAAAAGTGGGTTGCGGTTAATCGACGGTGGTACCTGAACCCCACACACAAAAAAACACTTACCATTATAAGCCGTACAAAGACGAGCTTCAATAGTTTCCGAATTTAATAAGTCAATGCCCTAACGAGAGCTAATTACTAACACCCAACTAGAGATCCTATCGTGTAAGTGTAAGTTACACTCGATATCTGTTCAATGCTTCTACATTTTTTTTAATGTGAAAAGTTGCCAAGCGAGTACGCTCTGGAAGTGCCGAGGTTTAGACTGGCTGAAACCAGAAAGTCGGTTTCTTTTTCAACTTTTATAATAAAATAGGTGATATCCACAAACAACTGAGTATAAACAATTTCAAACAATTTGTAAAAGCTGCCCTAATGACAAGGGCCTACTATAATGTCCAAGAGTACATCGAGGACAAGGATGTTTGGAAATGACTTTTGCTCAGCTTTTGCAAGACCCCTGGCTTCTGCTGATTTTATACCTAAATAAGTTTGTATAATTGCATCACAAAAAAAATAACAAAAAAAAAAACAAGACCGCAAAGTTTCTTGCCGGTTCTTCTCTGTTCAGGTCTAGTTTAGTGAACCGGTGGTAGTTTTTTTGTTGACGTGCAATAGGAGCTTAAGTTAAGCCTATATTGTATAAAGATACTTTGATTTTGTCTTGACCGCAATCAGGATTCGAACCGACAATCGTTCCTATAAGTGGGCGATCGGCACCGTTTAGACTCCAGAACATAACGCACCATCAATCATTAAGTTGGACAGGCAGAGATCTTTGGATAGATTGCGTGATTTATGTTCCGACCTAAAACGGGATATCAATCACTTTACAAGCACCTACGTACGTACAAAAACTCACATCGGAAGACTATTCAAGTTTGCAAACATTCCATAGTCAAGTGCATGGTACCCTTAAATACGTCTACGGACCTCGGTTCGAGTGTACTTAATAAGGAGGTGGCGAGGAAATAGGAATCTTCATCATCACGATTTCAGCATGTTTGAGTCCACTGCAGAACATGGGTCTCCCCGACAGACTGCGACGAATCACGTTCCTGAGCCATCTGCATCCGTCGACTTAGCCGATGATAAATGACTATCCGCTAGTCAACTTTTGCCTCTGGACTTAGAAGAAGAAAAATAGTTCTTTTAGAGGTTCCTAATTGCTGCACTCGGAAGACTATAATAATTTGCATTAAATTAGTGTCGTTGTCAAATTTACTCTTATTGATTGTAATTGTTGAGCCGTGACAGCTCAGTGTCCGGGCGCTCGCCTTTAATTCAATATACTCGAGCAACCTGAGTTCGATCCCCGGTGCCGGAACCAATGAAATTGTTAATTTTAAGTGCGAATTATCACTTGCTCAGGCGAAAGAAAACATCGTGAGGAAACCTGCATACTATCGCAATAATAACAAAAAATATTTCGAAGACATGTGAAGCCCGCCAAACCGCAGTGGGGCCGCGTGGTGGACTATGCCCTGATACCCTCTGTACAGAGGAGGCCTTTGCCCAGCAGTGGGACATGTATAGACTGATACTTTAAGCAAACCTACATAATGCAACTACTGTACAAACGTATTTCCGCCACATTTCACCAGAATTGTGACGGGAATACCGCGTACTTATATTACACGTTTTATTATTTATATTTCTGTTTCATTATTAAATATTTATATCAATTATCGCAACAGTACATTATTAATTAAAAAAGGAATAGATAGCTTAACGTCAATTGAACATTGTGTTGACACTGTCTTCCAAATTTTATGAATTTGTTGACTTGTTTACACTGTTCCGAAGGTTTTTGCTTCGGCG